CGCCCCAATGCTTGCAAGCACCTCCCCCACTTTTTCTTCTGGAGTGGGATGATGAACAAACAGCAACTGAATGATGGCTGGCTGGCTGGCATGCTCTGCTGTACTATTGCAAGGCATAGTCAGCAGCCCTTGTAAACAGTTCCTGCTGCATTTGGCAAACCAGCAATACAACACAAATTCATGCTGGCGGCACTAAAAGGTGAAAAAACGTGTCTCCCTTCAGAGCAGTGGTTACCAAATGTTGGTCCTCCCAGTGTTTTTGACTTCAGCTCCCATAATTCCTAACAGTTGGTAAGATGGCTGGGATTTCTGGGAGTTTCAGTCCAAATTAGCTGGAGACCAAAAGGTTGGGGAGTCACTGGTTTAAAGAAAAAGGTGGTCCACGCATTGCAAGCAGCATCTCTCCAGCTAGGCTTGGCACATGCCCCACACACACCTGGCTGGGCTCCCTGCCATCCCAATTACTCAATGTCAGCAGAAACCCAAGTAAGTGCCTTATTTGTAAATGAAACATATGGTGGGCTTAAGAGTCTAGGTGCCATGTTTGTAAGGAAATGCACTCTTCCAAAAGGCTGCCAGATTTCAGATTCTTATTAAAAACTAGGAAAGGCAATTTTAACTACTGCACAAGTTGATTTGTTTTTGTTCTAAGTGATATGTTTTAATTATGTGATTTTAAAGTATATGTTGTTTATTTTTATATGTACTCGAATTGTGCCTTTGTTGTGAGCCGCCTTGAGTCCCCCCCTTCAGGGTAAGAAGAGCAAGATATAAATGTGGTAATTAAATAAATAATAATATTTGGTGGCGGCAGCAAAAAACAGTAACAACCCCACATTTAAGCAGGATACATGTTAGATAGGCATTTTGTTTTTAAGGAGAAACACTTTTTCTACAGGTTTCTAGTGGTTTGAAGGAAGAACTAGGAACAAAGGTTTTGCAAAAAAAAAAACAACAACAACAACAACAACAAAGCATATGCCCCCTATAACTTGTTTACATCAGAAAGATGGAAGTTTGTGACTGCTGCATCATTATTATTTACTAAACTAGGTTCTTGTAGGTTTTTTCGGGCTATAGGACCATGTTCTAGAGGCATTTCCCCTGACGTTTCGCCTGCATCTATGGCAAGCATCCTCAGAGGTAGTGAGGTCTGTTGGAAATAGGAAAATGGGTTTATATATCTGTGGAATGGCTGGGGTGGGGCAAAGAGCTCTTCTCTGCTGAAGCTAGGTGTGAATGTTTCAACTGATCACCTTTATTAGCATTTGAAAGCCTGCCTGAGCCTGGGAAAATCTCTTGCTGGGAGGTGTTAAGCTGTGCCTGGTTGTTTCCTCTCTGTTGTTTTGCTGTTGTAATTTTAGAGTTTTTTAATACTGGTAGCCAGATTTTGTTCATTTTTATGGTCTCTTCCTTTCTGTTGAAATTGTCCACATGCTTGTGGATTTCAATGGCTTCTCTGTGTAGTCTGACATGGTGGTTGTTGGTGTGGTCCAGCATTTCTGTGTTCTCAAATAATATGCTGTGTCCAGGTTGGTTCATCAGGTGCTCTGCTATGGCTGACTTCTCTGGTTGAAGTAGTCTGCAGTGCCTTTCATGTTCCTTGATTCGTGTTTGGGCGCTGCGTTTAGTGGTCCCTACGTAGACTTGTCCACAGCTGCATGGTATACGGTAGACTCCTGCAGAGGTGAGAGGATCCCTCTTGTCCTTTGCTGATCGTAGCATTTGTTGGATTTTCTTGGTGGGTTTGTAGATTGTTTGTATGTTGTGTTTCCTCCTCAGCTTCCCTATGCGGTCAGTGGTTCCCTTGATGTATGGCAGGAACACTTTTCCTCTGGGTGGATCTTCATCTTTACTCTCGTGGCTTGTTCTTGGTCTTGCAGCTCTTCTGATGTCTGAGGTGGAGTATCCATTGGCTTGGAGAGCCCAGTTGAGGTGGTTCAGTTCATCTTGGAGGAGGTGGGGTTCGCAGATTCTTTTTGAACATTTTCCCAGGCTCAGCCAAGCCTTCAAATGCTAATTAAGGTGGTCAGCTGAAACATTCACACCTAGCTTCAGCAGAGAGCTCTTTGCCCCACCCCAGTCATTCCACCGATATATAAACCCATTTTCCTATTTCCAACAGACCTCACTACCTCTGAGGATGCTTGCCATAGATGCAGGCGAAACGTCAGGAGAAATGCCTCTAGAATATGGCCCTATAGCCCGAAAAAACCTACAAGAACCTAGTGATTCCAGCCATGAAAGACTTCGACAATACATTTGCTAAACTATTTCTCACAACTCTCTTGCAGCACAGCCAGGTTTTCTTCTGGAAATGCATGTAGGTACAAGGGACTCTTCTCTTTGTGACAGACGGAACTCCCAACTCTATCCTATGGTTATTTTCCCTCCTATCAAGCAGGTTTTCTTTTCTCCCAGGTGATATCTGCCTATGAGTTGCACACAGGACCTCTTGTGCCCTGAGAATCCTACACTAGCTAGATCAACATGACACATGTTCAGTGACCTGGGAATTAATATTGTTCTCTTATTCCTGTTTAGTCTTTCCCAGTGAAAATAAAGATCACTTTAAAACCTGCCACAACAAATGACTAATACTGCAAGTCAAAATTAAGGAAAACCACATTGTTATATTCTATCCCTCCAAGACTTATTTTAAAAAGTTATCGACCACATATGCGGACTGAGTTGGACATGATTTTATTTTGGCAATTTGGCTTATAAGTATTTTATTCTATATCATCATCATCTTTAATTACTTATTAATCGCCCTCCATCCAAGATGCTCTAGGCGATTTACATTGCAGAAATTATTACATTGCAGAAATTATATGTATTTTAATTTTTGCTGTTGTATGATGTTTTAGACTGTATTATTAGCATTGAATCCTTGCTGTGAGCCGGTCTGAGTCCCTCTACGGAGGTAGAGAAGATCAGGATATAAAAGTTTCAAATAAATAAATAATTCAGCTCAAGGATATTTGGGAGTTTTTTTTTTAAATATATCTTGCACTGACAGATAAAGCCAAGATAACAGTTCCTGGCAGAAAAGGCCTGTTTCCATGTCTGATTGCATTCCAAGCCAAAGATTCCATTTTATCTTCAGCTCCAGCAAACGTCCCCGATGAAAGAAGTGCTGAGCTTTTTTTATCACTGATGATGCTTTACTGAACTTCTATTCCATTTCTCTGCATCTTGAGAAGGAAAAGCTCTGCTAATTCAGGTCACTTCGACATTTCTTATACAGGGTGCTGCTAGCAAGACTGTGTGGATCTACATTATATTCTTTGTAAGAAAAAACAGACATAATCCAGTTTATAAACACAGAATAGCTGCCACTTGGGGCATTCACTCCAAGTTCCATCCTTGGGGAGAAAGGTGGGCTACGAATCCAACAAACAAGTAAATATCAAAGTTTGAGGACACAGAACATTCAGCAACTCTCATCAATATCAGGATATCATTATCAATGTTCAACATTTACACAAATGACCAGCCACTGCCAGAAGGGACAGAGAGCTTCACCTATGCTGATGATCGTGCCATTACCGCTCAAGCAGGGAGCTTTGAAATGGTTGAACAGAAGCTCTCCGAAGCTCTAGGTGCCCTTACTGCCTATTACAGGGGAAACCAGCTGATCCCTAATCCATCTAAAACAAAGACATGTGTTTTTCATCTCGAGAACAGACAAGCATCCTGAGCTCTGAGGATTAGCTGGGAAGAAATCCCACTGGAGCATTGCAGTGCACTCAAATACCTGGGAGTCACTCTGAACTGTGCTCTTACCTACAAGAAGCACTGCCTGAATATCAAGCAAAAAGTGGGCGCTAGAAACAATATCATACGAAAGCTGACTGGCACAACCTGGGGATCACAACCATATACAGTGAAGACATCTGCATTTGCGCTATGCTACTCTGCTGCTGAGTACACATGCCCAGTGTGGAACACATCTCACCACGCTAAAACAGTGGATGTGGCTCTTAATGAGACATGCTGCATTATCATGGGGTGTCTGCGCCCTACACCACTGGAGAAATTACACTGTTTAGCCGGTATTGCACCACCGGGAAGTAGCAGCCAATAGTGAAAGAACCAAGGCAGAGACATCTCCAGCTCATCCCTTGTTTGGGTATCAGCCAGCATGTCAACGACTTAAATCAAGAAATAGTTTTCTAAGATCTATAGAGACACTCGATGGAAAACCTCAGCAAGAGAGAGTCCAAAAGTGGCAGGCTCAAACCCAGAACCTCAATCAATGGCTGATACCAAATGAGAGACTCCCCCTGGGAACACAGAAGACTGGGTGCTTGGAAAGCACTGAACAGACTGCATTCTGGCACCACGAGATGCAGAGCCAACTTCAAGAAATGGGGCCACAAAGTGGAATCCACAACATGCGAGTGTGCAAAGAGAAAACCACAGACCACCTGCTGCAATGCACCCTGAGCCCTGCCACATGCACAAGAGAGGACCTTCTTGCAGCAACACCAAAGGCATTCCAAGTGGCCAGCTACTGGTCAAAGGACATTTAATCAACTACCAGAGCTTGCAAACTCTGTTTTGTCTGTTTGTTAAAAATCTGTTAAAAATGTAATACAATTGTCTGGTTGATACTGACACGATAAATAAATCAATATCAGGAAATCAGAAAGAAAGAATGGCCCTACAATCCAGCCTGAAGAATTATCACTGTTAGAAGTTTGTTGTTCCCTGAGCTGCTCACTCTGTATCTAGAGCAGTGGTTCTCAACCTGTGGGTCCCCAGGTGTTTCAGCCTACAACTCCCAGAAATCCCAGCCAGTTTATCAGCTGTTAGGATTTCTGGGAGTTGAAGGCTAAAACATCTGGGGACCCACAGGTTGAGAACCACTGATCTAGAGGCTTTTGACAAGAATTATTTCTTAGAGGAAAGTTTCTTTTATAAAGCTGTGCACAGTAACCCACTTTAAACAGCCTTCGGCGTGAGTAACACAACAGAATCGAGGCTCCACTTACCTCTCCCTCTGCCACGTTTCCCACGGTCAGAAGGCCGATCACCTTGACTGCTATCCACTCCATTTTCTTCTACTCTAACTAGACATAAAAGAGAGATACAGAATATATGTAAGTACATATTTTTCATGTTATAATAATCAACACAGGTGGAGTATTTCCTCCTTGATCAGACATTTTCAAGCTGAAGATGAGGCAGAGTCATATACAGCAAAAATGGGAAAGGGTGAGGTGCCCCAGGGAGACAGAGTAATTTGGACTCATAATTGCTGCTCTGCCTGTTGGCTCAAGCCTGAAATCACTGAGAAGTCTACAGAAGCACAAATTGGGATAACATCCCATCTAAACCTTTCCACAAGCTCCAAGGCTGAACACCAAACATCTTCCCTTTAATTTAGCTACATGTTTTGGGCCTCTGTTTTTAATCTTTTCCTGGCATTGTTTTAGAGGACAAATTATGCTGCGATGCTCTTTGAGTGTGGACTTGCTGTACTCATTTTCAATCCAAGGGCTGCTCCAAGAGGTCCCCCTGAGGGTTGAAAAGCAGGCCTTTAGTGCCCAAAATAAAATGCTTCGACAGTTAGGTTCTTTTTTCCGCACAGCTATTCTCAAGAATGCAAAATATATTCCCTTCCAATCACTCGTTTTTGCTTAATAGAGCAATAAAGGCCACGCACCTGTTTTGTGTTTTATGCATGCAGTCATACTCCTTTTCTGTCCAATTTGCAACATCTATATTCAGCTCTCAGTTGAATAAATAGTTTTGTGGGTATAACTCAGGCATGGGCAAACTTTGTCCCTCTCGGTGTTTTGGATTTCAACTCCCACAATTTATTTATTATTTATTTATTTACAGCTTTTATATTACACCCTTCTCACCCCGCAGATTACAGTGTACACATATATGGCAAACATTCAATGCCAATTTTAACATACAACATATACAGACATACACAGAGGCTATTTAACTTTTTCTGGCCGCCAGGGAAGCTGTCGCTTTCATCGTCCATCTGCGACGCTGATAAAGCACTTCCGCATTCCCCACATGCTTCCCTGCTGGAATGCTTTGCTGGAGTCTTCTTTATGGCCTCATAAATCAGTTAATTTAGCCTCCCCACACTTTAAGGTGATACGTTATTTTCCTACTTGACAGATGCAACTGTCTTTCGGGTTGCAAAGGTCGACAACAGGCTACACACAATTGGTTGGAAACCCACTCCAACCCGGGCTGGCTTCGAACTCATGACCTTTTGGTCAGAGTGATCTTAATGCAGCTGACACTCAGCCAGCTGTGCCACAATCCCGGTGCCTACCGGATATTAGGAATTGTGGGAGTTGAAGTCCAAAACACCGAGAGAGCTGAAGTTTGCCCAGACCTGGTATAACTGCTGAACATGCAGTTTCACATTCTCAGACAGAACACAACAATTTACCAATGGCTTCAGTGCCCCTTGATTCACTGGGATTGTTAGAGCAACGACTGTGCATTCCGGGTTGCACATGGGGACAATAAGCAGACACAATGCCAGGTCATGCCACTGGTCACTCAATGACAGTATTCAGAAGACAAAGTGGAGCAGTGCAATAGCCATTTTACTACATATATAATTTATGCCAAGCAAGCAGGATGTCGGATCTTGGTCAAAGTGTAACCAAAACGCACCAGCATTAAGTTTCTGCAGCCATACAATTGGTGTCGAAACTCCACAACCACTTTTACTTAAAGAAAAACATCTCTGTGGCATGGTATACATATACTATATGCTCGTATATAAGTCTAGAATTTTAGTCAAAAAAATCAACCCCAAAAGACATGGGTTAAGACTTATTCACAGGTCAATGTGAAGATTGTACCCAAACCCATACCAAAAAAAGGTGAAAGCACCTTTTTTGAGTAGAGTGGCCAAAGGCAAGGGCTTAGTTCATCAAAAGAGAACCTAAAAGAAACACTGACCCCTCCGACTCTCTCTTCCATGGTGCTGCTTCTAGTCCTTTTGAACAGGGCTTTTCCCTTTCCACCCAAGACATTTTTATTAGCATTTGCAAGGCTTGCTAAACAGGCTGATTTTCCTTTTCATGGAATACAACTAAATCATTTTCTGTCTAGTTCATTGTAAACCCTGCACATTCTTGTTTTTTGTGCATGCATGGCATTCAGAAACCTTTTACAGTTGCCAAATGTTTCATGATCCCAACATGAAGTCAGGGAGGGCCCAAAATAATTCTTTTAAAAAATATTTATTTATTTATTTATTTGCTTCATTTATATACCGCATTTCTCAGCCCTCAGGCGACTCAAAGCGGTTAACAACAGCAAAATTAAATGCAAAACATCATAAAACGATTATGGGACAGTTAAAACAATAGCATCATCAACAATTAAACATCAATATAACAATCATTAGCGTCTCATCAGTAAAATCAGAATCCAATCTCACCATCCGTTAATCCGTGTTCCTATATTCATTACACTGCTTAACTGAATGCTTGTTCGAATAGCCAGGTCTTCACTTTCCTCCGAAACGCCAATAGGGAGGGGGCCGATCTGATATCTATAGGAAGGGTGTTCCACAGCCGAGGGACCACCACTGAGAAGGCCCTGTCTCTTGTCCCAGCCAGGCACGCCTGTGATGCAGGCGGGACTGAGAGCAGGGCCTCCCCAGATGATCTTAATGTCCTAGTTGGTTCATAGGAGGAGATGCGTTTGGAGAGATAAGTAGGGCCAGAACCGTTTAGGGCAGGGGTAGGGAACCTTTGGCCCTCCAGCTGTGGTGGACTTCAACTCCCACAATTCCTTGAGGCTCAGCATTGGGCCAAGGTAAGCCTTTGAGGCGAATGCCGAGCCTCAAGGAATTGTGGGAGTTGAAGTCCACCACAGCTGGAGGGCCAAAGGTTCCCTACCCCTGGTTTAGGGCTTTATAGGCTAACGCCAGCACTTTGAATTATGCCCGGTAGCCAACTGACAGCCAGTGGAGCTGGCACAACAGAGGAGTTATATGCTCCCTGAGCCCCGCTTCTATTAGTAACCTGGCTGCCAATCTCTGGATCATTTGAAGCTTCCGAGCAGTCTTCAAAGACAACCCCGCGTAGAGAGCGTTGCAGTAATCTATATGGGATGTAACCAGTAGATTGGTGAATTGTTCTGAAATTTGGCAGGCCTGCAGTTGTTTTTTAGAATTATTTTAAGTTTTAACCGTAACATTTTTTAAAATAAGACAAACCGCAAGAGAGGGTTCTGGGCATTGTAGTTTGAGCCTTTAAAATTTCCCATTGTAGCTAATGGGGTGAATCTTTGCAGAATCTAAACGGCAACACCCTTCCCCTTTTGAGTAACTTCCCAGTAAACAGAATGAGGGGTCAGCCAACAATGGACCCTGAAACGGGGTGCTTTTAATTATTATATTGACTAATTATCCACAATCTTACTTGGTTGTTTTATCATTACTTTTACACATTAAGGTGGCGCAGTGAGTTAAACCCCTGTGCCGGCAGGAGTGAAGACCGACGGGTCGCAGGTTCGAATCCAGGGAGAGGCGGATGAGCTCCCTCTATCAGCTCCAGCTCTTCATGCGGGGACATGAGAGAAGCCTCCCACAAGGATGATAAAAACATCAATTCATCCAGGCGTCCCCTGGGCAACGTCCTTGCAGACGGCCAATTCTCTCACACCAGAAGCGACTTGCAGTTTCTCAAGTCACTCCTGACACGACAAACCCTGATAAATGGTTTCCATGTATTACCAAATAAGAGTCTCTTTTTATGTCTCCTTTTGGCAATCTCAGTTTCTCATAGGGTAATAGCCCACATCTTATTTAAGCAGTTCTTTATTGATTAATAGTTTTTCCCAGGTACTGACAGCTGTTTTGAGTCTTGTGGCACATAACTTAAGCAATGGGAGAATCCATAATTTTGGTCCCAGAACTTGCCCTCCACTTATACATGAGGTCAACTTATGCATGAGAATACACGGCAGTTCTTCCCCGAGCCTCCGTTTGCCAATGTGCAAGAGGTCAGCCCTAGCAAGGTCCACTCTTATGCAACCTCACAGGCAAACTAAGGCAACGGCATTATTTCTGGGAGCAAGGTGCCCGTGCTTACACTCTCGGCCGCGGCTGCCCCCTCTTCCTCGTCTGCTGGAACTTCCCCGTCCACGGCTGACTTCTCTGTCCCCTCGCTTTTCTCTGTTCTCTTTGTTCTCTGAACTCTCTTTTCCAAGACTTTTCTTCTTTCCTCCCACCGTCTCCCACGAAGTCTATTTAGGTGGAGAAGGAAAACACAGAAAAAAGGATTGAACATCTGCCTGGCAGAGTACCTTTCAGACTAAATTCCCTCAGATCTGCAAGAACTTTTTAGGGCCCTTCCGATGGGCAAATTCAATGGCTACATGTAAATGCAGAAAGGAAGCATCTACGAAGAAGCCTAGAATCAAGTTACGGGGCTGCTTTCAGTGCAATTACTTTCTACAGCATTTTAACAGCGAAGTATTTGAATCACATCTCTGGGGAAAAGGCTAGGCATTACAATAGTTACTAATACTAATAATAATGTGTACAGGAACAGGCTACTTCTAACATTGACACTGTGCATTTTAAACACTGCATATATTTTAAAAATTATAAATAGTAGGCATGGGGACATTCATGTCATGGGAATGAAACTTAACACTTCCCGCCCACACAACAGTCCTTACAAAAAAAAACCCTGCTTCAAGCACCTATTTGGCACACAGCATTCCCCTCCCACACGAAAAAGCAGCTGGAAGTAAGAGATTCTTATTGTGATCACGCTCTGAACAATGATGCGTGGGAGAGGGGATCTACTGCCCCAATCCTTGTCAGCAAAGGCTAGCCAATTATTTACTTATATACTATATATACTTGAGCATAAGCAGAGTTTTTCAATCCTTTTATAGGCTGAAAAAGACCCCTTGGCTTAAACTCGAATAAAAGTTATTTATTATTTTACTCTGTTGTTGTTGTTATTGTTGTTACATTTACATTACTTTTCTCTATTATTTTTATTACATTTATTGTTTTACTCTATTATTATTATTACATTTATTATTTTATTCTATTATTATTTTATTACATTTATTATTTTACTCTGTTTTAAATTGAAAGTTTATAATTGTTTTCAATTGCTGTTTTAACTGTAACTGTGTATTTTAATGTATTGTTTGGCATCAAATGGTTGCCTATTGTAATCCGCCTTGAGTCAATCTGCGAGGGTGAGAAGGACAGGATATAATTTATCTAAATAAATAAATAAATAAATAAATGTTATTATGTTTACTATTTTACTCTATTGTTGTTATTATTACTGTATATACTCGAGTATAAGCCTAGTTTTTCATGCCTTTTTGTAGGCTTTTTGTAAGTCCACCTCAGCTTATACTCGAGTCAAGGTTATTTATTATTTTACTCTGTTATTGTTGTTATTATTATTATTATTATTATTATTATTATTTTACATTTATTATTTTACTCTATTATTATTATTACATTTATCATTTTACGCTTATTTTACATTTATTATTTTACTTTATTATTGTTATTATTACATTTATTATTTTACTCTATTATTACTGTTATTATGTTTCCCTTATTTTACTCTATTATTATTATTATTATTATTACATTTATGATTTTCCTCTCTTTATTATTTTTATTATGAGTCACCTTCGGGCTGATATGGGCGGGATACAAATGTTGTAAATAAATAAAATAAATAATTGGAAGGATACTTAAGCACATTTACATCGAAGAAGGTTAGAATAATGGTTTAATCAGAGTTGGACAGTCTTATCTTAAATTTCATTTTTATGTAAATATTCAAAAACATTTAACCTCCTGATGTCTCAATTAATGTAATGTTACTGGTATCTATTTTTATTTTGAAATTTACCTGTAGCTGCTGCATTTCCCACCCTCGGCTTATACTCGAGTCAATCAGTTCTCCCAGTTTTTGGTGGTAAAATTGGGTGCCTCGGCTTATATTCGAGTCGGCTTATATTCGAGTATATACGGTACATTTAATCATTTTACTCTATTATTGATATTATTACCTTTACATTATTTTACTCTATTATTATTGTTACATTTATTATTTTGCTTTCTTTATTATTATTGGAAGGATGCATAAGCACATTTACCTTGAAGATGGTTAGAATCATGGTTTAATCAGAGTTGGACAGTCTTATCTTAAATTACAGCTTTATGTAAATATTCAAAAACACTGAACCTACTGATGACTCAATTAACGTAATTTTATTGGTATATATTTTTATTCTGAAATTTACCAGTAGCTGCCACATTTCCCACCCTCAGCTTATATTGGAGTCAATATGTTTTCACAGTTGTTGTTGTTGTTGTTGTTGTTGTTGTTATTATTATTATTATGGTGGTAAAATTAGGTGCCTCAGCTTATATCCGAGCCGGCTTATACTCAAATATATATGGTAATTTCGTATAATTTCTTTCTAGCATGAGACCCAAGGCAGCTCATAGTATATTGTTGTTGTTGTTCATTTGTTCAGTCGTCTCCGACTCTTTGTGACCTCATGGACCAGCCCACGCCAGAGCTCCCTGTCGGCCGTCACCACCCCCAGCTCCTTCAAGGTCAGTCCAGTCACTTCAAGGATGTATATAGTATATAAGTATATACTCATAGTATATAAATATATAAGTATATACTCATTGTATATAAGTATATACTCATAGTATATAAGGACTATTATATATGGAAATAATAAAAACTATACGTCTCTGATCATGTTTAATGTTACATGGTGTTTGCTCTGTAGTTTTGTTTCTGTCACTGTGCACATTATTTGCAGACAGAGACCATTTGGTCAAAGATCACCAACACATTCAGGAATGGGATACAGACTGATAACCAGAAAGCAGCATTGCATCTGTTCCACTGAACTACATATTTATAGGGTAACTTCTGGTATTGTAGAATACTGCATCCAGTCATTCACAAGTTTAATGCAGTGTACAACACTATAGTTTTCAGTCCATTATGGTTCTGTTCCACCATCTCTCCCATTGCACACTTTGGGTGGTAACTATTTTTCAATTCTCAGAGTATTAACTGCTTGAACTTTCTTGTTCAGTGTGGCCAGAGGGCTTATTTCAGATTACTACAATAACCTGCACAATCAATACTAGAGCTACGGCTCTTTGGGCAGCAGTTTTCTACATTTTGGATCATCATAAAGAGGGCTTTAATTGTTCACCTTGACCACAAAGCAGTCAGGCACAGACATTTCCATCTTCCTGAGGCAAGTTGGCCTTTGCTTGAGAAAGATATACATAAATTCCACTATATATAGAAAACTTTTTACCCGGGCTAGATTTGAACAGCTCGACATTAAGTCCAAGTTGGGACGACATCAGAATATTCCCTACATGAGGAGAACCTGTGGGTGCTGTGAGGTCGATGCAGAAGTGGAGGACTCAGAACATTTTTTTCTTAAAATGTCCCTACTACAATAGGATACGGTCTTACTACCTAGAGCCTCTGCTGGAGAATCATACTCATTTAGAGAATAAGGAGAAATTCTACATCCTCCTACAGGGTTCAGATAAAAACTCTATTTTAAAATTGACCCTTTTTACGCAAAAAGCACTGGCCATCTGCAAGAAGATGGAAGCAGAGAAAGGTGACCTTGCTGCCATCAACAAAATTCAAACTTAAAAACTTAATATGGACATGCCACTAGTTTTACCTACCCGCGCCCCTGCCCAAACCCTACTTAAAGGAATTAATCAATTTTCAATCTTTTCAAATTTTTTATCTTGTAGTTGCACAATCATTTAGGAGTGGGTTGACAGGCCAGTAGGCCAGGATGCCTTGTATTCATATGTGGTTTTACTGTATGTATGGGCAAGTGTGTATGTTTTGTATGTTTTGCATGTTTTGATATGGTCAAAATTGACTAATCAATAAAGAATTGTTGTTGATATACATAAAACACAAATTTTAATGAATTGCAAATGTTTAATTTACAGGTGTTGAACTCTTTAATTTATTCTCAATTGTCTGATGGGCTGCATGGTTCAAGTTGATCTGCACCAAACTAGAAGACTCAAGAAGCCAGGCATGAACCTGTTGCAATAAAATTGTGAAAATAAAAATATGTTCACACTTGGGTACCTTTCCCACTACAGAGTTAAGGCTCTATGTTTCTTTGTGGTTGAATCTTGGTTGCACAATAGTCGCAAGTCTATGATTCAGACCACTACATCATACCCACTCTCTGATTACAGTGGAGTAGCACCTAAGACCCAAGCAAGTGACTAGTCTGGGCCTGCAATGTATCAACTCCTAATTAACCAGATAATGTAAGAACAATCTCCTTCTAGCCTTTGAAGTGGTGACACTGCCCTACAAAGAAAGAAAAGCCCCATGCCTCACATCTTTGTATAAGTTACATTTTAGAGTTTTAGCCATCCATTTCAATCACATTCTTACTGTGTCTGAGTTCCCTTCCAGCAAGATATTGATTGCTCTGTTCACATCTCCGTTGCAGTCATGTAGGGCCACTATGCAATCATCCTGATTCTTCCCGGTTACTTCCATAAGCTAAAAAACAAATGTAGAAAGTATTACTTATTTATTTACTTATTTAAGCTGACTGGCACAACCTGGGCATCACAGCCAGATACAGTGAAGACATCTGGCCTTGCGCTGTGCTACTCTGCTGCTGAGTATGCATGCCCAGTGGGGAACACATCTCACCACGCTAAAACAGTGGATGTGGCTCTTAATGAGAAATGCCGCATTATCACGGGGTGCCTGCGCCCTACACCACTGGAGAAATTACACTGCTTAGCCCACCTGACATCCACCGAGAAGTAGCAGCCAATAGTGAAAGGACCAAGGCAGAGACATCTCCAGCTCATCCCCTGTTTGGGTATCAACCAGCACGTCAACGACTTAAATCTAGAAATAGTTTTTTAAGATCTACAGACACTCGCTGGATCAGCTCAGCAAGCGAGAGTCCAAAACTGGCAGGCTCAAACCCAGAACTTCAACCAATGGCTGATACCAAATGAGAGACTCCCCCCGGGCAACTTGGAAGGCGCTGAACAGACTGCGCTCTGGCACCACAAGATGCAGAGCCAACCTCAAGAAATGGGGCTACAAAGTGGAATCCACGACATGCGAGTGTGGAGAGGAGCAAACCACAGACCACCTGCTGCAATGCAACCTGAGTCCTGCCACATGCACCATGGAGGACCTTCTTGCAGCAACACCAGAGGCACTCCAAGTGGCCAGATACTGGTCAAAGGACATGTAATCAACTAAACTCACAAATTTTGTATTTTGTCTGTTTGTTTGCTTTGTTTCTGCTAGAAATGTAATATAATTGACTGGTTGCCCTGACACGACAAATAAATACTTATTTACTTCATTTATATCTCACTCTTCTCAACTCCGAAGGGGACTCAGAGCAGCCTTACAAATGAGGCAGCATTTTGATGCCAAAACGTAAACATACAATAAACATTGACATAAAACCAAAACATTAAAACAACGCAATTTAAAATCAATTATTAAAAGTATGTATTAAAAAGATAACAGGACTGAACCAGTGCAAAGTTAGAGACCAAGAAATAATTTGGAATATTAAATACCAACAAAAAGAAATGTCACACAGAATATTTTTGTAACACAGGTTGAGCATCCCTTATCTGGGAATCTGAAATCCAAAGTACACCAAATTCTGAATATTTTGGTTTTCATCATGAAAAACCTAAAAATATACTCTCATGAGCAACATAAAGCCTATCTTGTACCCTAAGAAACCAATGTGAAAGAGTTCATTATCTAGACAATTCTGGCATTATTCAAAATCTGGCAGTTCCACTGATTCTGTTTGGTTGGGGTCTTTTAATGGATTATTGAATTTCGCCTCTGAGCAATGTTTACACTTTCCTGCTTTGCCTGAAAAGCTGCCAAGCTGAGAGCCGAAAGGTTTTTTTTTTAATGGGGTGATAAATACTTTCCGTGGACATAATGTGCAAGCAGGAGCTGAACTTTATTTTTATTTTCCCTTTTGCTTGATTCATATTCCGAATACATTTGGCTGTTTTGCAAAAAGGCAAAACAACCCACGCTGGCTAAAGTGAAAAAAAAGCAACCCCAAAAGTTGGCTCTAATGTAATCCCAACAAAGGCAAAAGATCCCTGGAAGGGGGAAAGGGGGAGAAAGCAGTCAAGAAAATAAAGCTCACTAGCTGTGCATCACTTTGAGAACCCTGTGCACATAACATCTAGCAAGAAGTTTGGATTTTAAAAACCAAGACACCCTCTCCCCAATTCACAGCTCATTTTGCATTGACTACAAAAAAGGTGAATCAATCTTAAATCATTAGTTTTAAACACGGTCCTGGATGTGGCGTTAAGCAAGAAAGCAAGGACTTCTTCAGGGTCGGTCTTGTGCCTACTGTCAGAGTCAGACGATGCCCAGCGGAAGGATTGCTAGATCAGCAGACACTGAGTTGCAAAATAAGGACTCTGCAGGCTTTGAGTTACAAAAGAAACTAAGTTTACTAAGCACAAACATCAGACATGTCTTACTACAGCGAGCTACAATTCAGGAACTAGTCAAAACCGAAAGCCTCTTCACATCTGCTTATCTTCTCTTGCTGAGACTGGCTACTCCCTTCTGTTCCCAGCAAGAGCAAACCTTATCTTACTTTTCTCAAGTTCGCCTAATCACAGCCTCAAAGTATAAACATTCTGCACAGCATTTCTAATTCACAGTGGCACCCATATTTGCAATACATAGAAGCACATTTAAAACACATACATAACTAAATTAATCCTGACAATGCCCCCTCTTTTTAAATGTGATTCTATAACCCTAATACATACATGTAATCTGCGTAACTCTAACATTTTAACTCTTAAGTACAACATTCATTTGTTCTCTTAACAATTCTATAACATCTCTATTACATACAATTACTTCTCTTCATTTCTTCATACATCTCATTACTTCTTATAACTTTAATAACCATTACATTTCATAACCAGAATAACTCAATAACTCTATGTCATGTATTAGCTTCTTATACTCAATACATCAATACAACAATACAGGGGGAAATTGCATCATAATATCAATCAACACCTACAACCTGTGATAATGTTCCCTTCCTATCAACCCAGGGATGAAACTCACCTGTTTCACTTTATCCTCAAAATCTGCATCGTTCTTATCGTAGATCATCTGGGCAAGGCGAATTTGTTCTGCTGTTGCCTAAGACATACAAACAGATACCATATATTTTTTACATATATCTTATATACAGAATAGCATATACATTAAAAATCAAAAATGTCCTACAGTGCTTCCATCTCCTGAAGTTTTGTACTTTCTCCCATCAATTCACAACTGAAGAAGGAAACATGCTGTGATGTGTTTTCCAATATGCATCACAGATTTTAGGAGAAATGAGGAAAACCACAAGTACTATTTATAATAATAATATTTATTATTATTATTATTATTATTATTATTATTATTATAAATAATAATCTGACAAAGTTTTGGAACACAATACATCAGCCATCACGATTGTGGAAAAGAAAAAAAGTCTGGATTATTGATGTCACCATACCGGGTGACAGTCACACTGAGGAAAAACAACTGGAAAAATTCAGCCACTATCAAGACCTCAAAATCAAACTGCAAAAGCTCTGGCATAAAACAGTACAGGTGGTCCCAGTGGTCATCGGCACACTGGGAGCCGTACCAAAAGATCTCAGCCAGCATTTGGAAACAATAAACATCGACAAAATCACCATCTGTCAACTGCAAAAGGCCACTTGACTTTGATCTGCGCGCATCATTCGAAAATACATCACACAGTCCTAGACACTTGGGAAGTGTTCGACTTGTGATTTTGTGATACGAAATCCAGCATATAGATCTTGTTTGCTGTGACATACTGTGCTTTTGTGTCAATAAAATAATAATAATAATAATAATAATAATAATAATAATAATAATAATAAATAATCTTTATTTATAGACCGCCCTATCTCCCCGAAGGGACCCAGGGCAATTTCCAACAAACATGGCAAACATTCAATGCCCAAAGAAAACCATACAAACAATATACGTCAGGACAAAGCACATTAGACAATACAGAATAACCTAACTGTAACTTAATAAACAAAATAGCGAAAAAATATAAATAAAAATAAAATAAATATAATTAAAACATCATAAAATACAAAAAACCCTGATAAAACACACTAAAAATAAAAATATAAAACCGATTACATTGGAGCTCCATAAGGTGAGGTTCAACAATACCTATAGCCAGGAGTACCAAAATGGACCTGATCAACTGTAAAAGGGTTGGGTGAGGAATAGTGTAAACAGCTTATCATAGGGCTGGGGAAGTGGATAAAGTGCAGAACTGAGTACTATTTGGCGACCTAGGGACTGGGGACTGGGAACTAGTAGTTCTCAAAGACTTGCTGGAATATCCAGGTTTTCAGCTCCATATGAAAGGAGGACAGTGTGGGGGTTTGCCTAATCTCTCTGGAGAGAGTGTTCCAAAATCAGGGCCACCACTGAGAAGGCCTTCTCCCTCGTCCCCACCAGCCGTGCTTGTGACAGTGGTGGAAACGAGAGGAGGGCCTCCCCAGCAGATCTTAGAGCCCCCATCAGTTCATAGGGTGAGATACGATCACAAAGATAGGTAGTGCCTGAACTGTTTAGGGTAGTGGTTCTCAACCTGTGGGTCCCTAGGTGTTTTGGCCGACAACTCCCAGAAAGCCCAGCCAGTTTACCAGTGGTTAGGATTTCTGGGAGTTAAAGGCCAAAACATCTGGGGACCCACAGGTTGAGAACCACTGGTTTGGGGCTTTATATGTCATAACCTGCACCTTGAATTGGGCTGGAAGCTTATCGGCAGCCAGTGGAGCTGCTTTTATAGGGGCATTGTGTGCTCCCTATAATTAGCTCCAGTTAGAAACTGGCTTCCAACCTTTCTACCTATTGAAGTTTCCAGGCCATCTTCAAAGGCAGCCCCACATAGAGTGCATTGCAATAATACCATCTGGGTGTGACCAAGGCATGGACCACTGTGGCCAAGTCTGGCTTCTCGAGGTACGGTCGGAGCTGGCACACAAACCTTAACTGTGCGAAGGCCCTCCTGGCCACTGCCAACACCTGAACATCAAGTGCCAGCACTGAGTCCAGGAGTCAAGCTGAGGACCTGTGTCCTCAGTGGGTGTGTAACCCCATCAAGCACAGATTGCCACCCTAGATCCCGATCAGCCTCAATGCATTAAGGTTCTTATGACAGAGAACTTGACATATGATATTCGGGAAATTGATATACTCCCTTTTAAGCTATCATGAATTTGGAGGTATCAGTTTTTATGACTGGGATCTTTTGCCCATATACCTGGCAGAAAGTTTCACTGGGATAACTTTGGTTCCTCTGAAATATATCCTATATGCGGAACAGCTTAGAGAAGAGGGTCCTTTTAGCTGGGAAATGAGAACACTGAGAGGTGACATAACACTTTTAAATATCCAAAGCGATGTCATGCAGAAGATGAGGCAAGTTTGCTTTCTGTTGCTGCAGAGACTAAAAAGCAAACCAATGGATTCAAACGACAAGGAGGCTGATTCTTACTAAACAGTTGGAAGAAGCTACCATTTGACAATGGAAGATTGCTTCAGAGGGTGGGTTTACCTATCCAAGAATTAAGGGACTATCACCTTTGGAAATCGGGACAAAACATCCGTTATGCCATTCAGTGATCTTGAGTTCTGCCATCAGCAATTGCTCTTTGGGGTCCCCAGATGTTTTTTTAAAGTATTTTTCAATGCACTTTTTTGTGGAATGCTATGGTCACATAGCACATAGAAAGAAAGCGCAAAAGCTGGGTTGAACATCAAAAAAACCAAGATTATGGCAACAAGAATGATTGACAACTGGGAAATAGAGGGAGAAAAGGTGGAGGCATTGACAGACTTTGTATTTTTAGGTGCAAAGATTGCTGCAGACGCAGACTGCAGCCAGGAAATCAGGAGCACTTACTTCTTGGAAGGAGAGCAATGATAAATCTTGATAAAATAGTGAAGAGTAGAGACATCACACTGGCAACAAAGATCCGCATAGTCAAAGCAATGGTATTCCCCGTAGTAACCTACAGATGTGAGAGTTGGACCATAGGGAAGGGTGAGCGAAGGAAGATAGATGCTTTTGAGCTGTGGTGTTGGAGGAAAGTTCTGAGAGTGCCTTGGACAGCAAGAAGATCCAACCAGCCCATCCTCCAGGAAATAAAGCCCGACTGCTCATTGGAGGGAAGGAGACTAGAGGCCAAGATTAAGTACTTTGGCCACATCATGAGAAGAAAGGAAAGCTTAGAAAAGACAATGATGCTGGGGAAAATGGAAGGAAAAAAGGGAGAGCAAGGGCAAGATGGATGGATGGTATCCTTGAAGTGACTGGATTGACCTTGAAGGAGCTGGGGGTGGTGACGACCAACAGGGAGCTCTGGCGTGGACTGGTCCATGAAGTCACAAAGAGTCGGAAACGACTGAACGAATGAACAACCACATGGCCACATATGCATGGGTTGATCTATCCGAAACAACTGACCAGCTCTGCCTTGCTAGATAAGGTTGGACTTTTGGTGCCTTAAACTCTTCTGGGTAATTAAAGCATTTACACCTTATGAAGGTTAAATTAAACCCATGTTAAAGAGCACAGAGTGATTACTAATGACACACAATAAAAAAAACTTGCCCTCAAGTGCCTGCCTTTAAGGACACAAAAGCAATTGCCGGCAAGGTATTAATTGCTGCTCAAGGGACTTTTAGTGTCTTCTGCAACAATTACTGCCTCAAGAGCATATACAGCTCCCATCCTCATTATTTCATATCCCTCATCAGAGCTCCTCAAAGTAGAAAACGTGGACAGAAACTACTCTAAAGCCAGATAGGGATTTGCATGGCTGAGATGGGACAGAAACCTGGGTCTTCTTGCCATGTATATGCTTCCCAATGACCCACAGTAGTTCTCTGTGACTTTAGCAGAGTCCTGTCAAACCTGCATCCTTTTACACAGAGTATTCTGTGAAGTGGTACAAAACAGAGGGCCTTGCTTTTAACAGGATATCCTCTTCTCTAGACGTTCTCTTCACATCAAAGGGAAGAACATGCCGTCCCTCCCTATCTATGTAGTCAGCTTTGCTAAGACTCAGGATTTGTTTTAGAAAGCAGGAAAGGTCTTATGTTTTAAAACAGTCAAAGATAAATCTGAAAGTGTCAGTGGATAATAGATCGAATCTGAAGTCATTTATAGTGCTCAGTGTGATGAACAAGAGCCACCTGAATCGCAAGGCAAGAACGGCAAGGTTTAGAGCTCATGTGATTGCTTAGTGGCACTTCACACAGTTTTTAGGTGTCACAGTGAAGAACACTCATCAAGGAACCATAATTAGCAGGAAAAGCCAGTTGCACAATCTATTATTGTGGAAAAATAATCACACACATCTCAAAGTTACATCCCAAAACAGGCCACCAAGGTGAAGAGTTTGCAATAGATGAGAGATGGGAAGGCCTTCGAGGAAAAACTGGAGGAAAACCCCCAGGATTTTTTTCATAGGGTGTTTGGTTTTTTTGTTTTGTTTTGTTTTGCTTCCAGAAAGAAATTTAGAATAACAAACAAAAAAATTTAAGGAGTGGTGTTTGTTTATATAAGCTGTAAAAAGTACAGTAAAGACTCGCTTATCCGACCTTCCCTTATCCGACATTCTGTCTTATCCGATGCTCTTATCCGACGCCTCCCTTTTCCTCCAAAATCTCCCCTTCAATTAAAGTAGCGCTCCCCAACTCTTTCTCTATTCCCAATAAGTGAAAAAGGCAAGACAAGGAGGAGGAGGAGGAGGGAAAGAGGGAAAAGAGGCAGGACCAGAAGTGGAAGGATCCTCTCTCCTTCCCTCTGTGAATTCCAAGCTCCTCTTCCGCATCCGAGCACTAGTGTCACATCAGACAGTAGGAGACTCTGTATTTTCCAACATTTTCGTTTAGCTGACATTCTGCCGGCCTATTTATGTTGGATAAGCAAGATTCTACTGTATATCTAAGTATCTGAAGTAATGCCCAAATATCCTGAAGGCACCCTGTTCTTACAAGTGCAGGACCTTGTACTCTCAATTGTCACAAAACACAAACATTTAAAAAAGGAAATTCAGTTTGTAATAATTTTCTGAACTGTAGCAAATATGTTTATTGTTTATGCTAAACAAAACTTTATAAGTATCATATTTTTACATATATAAACACAGAAAGAGATCGTGTATTTCATGTTCCTAAAGCAACAAAGCAATTTTGAAACTGTCAAGGATGCTGTTGTGGTGGTGTGCCTTCAAATAATTTCTGGCATATGGTGACTCTAAAAGAAACCTCTCCCAGGGTTTTCTTGGTCAGATCTGTTCAGAGAAGGGTTACCTTTCCTGTCACTTGAGGCTGAGAGCATTGCTTTCCTCAAAATCAACCAGTGGGCTTTTATGGCTGACCAAAGCTCAAAATATTCACCCGGCTGTTTCTCTTCATAAAAAATGTTATACTCACGTTTTAAAAGATTTTCTGATAAATTCATTGGGGGGGGGGGGCTTTCCCCTTATAGCTGCCCTAAATGTCTCTATAAAACCCTAGATTTTCTATAACTTGCATAATCCGAAAATTCAGAAATGCCTCACAAAAAACTCATTTATTTATTCAATTTGTATCCCACTTTTCTCTATCCCGAAGGGGACTCAAGACAGTTTACTGTTCAATGCCTTTAAATAACAAACAGTTACAATACATTAAGTTAAAGATTTAAAATTTAAATTAAATTAAAATATAAAATATTATAATCACTATTAAAAATCACGCCATCCACACACACACACACACATATATATATATAGCTAGAACTGCAAAGGGCCCTATAGTTCAATTCCCTCCCATGCAGGAAGGCTTTTGCAACATCCTTTCTGCTGCCCCTGAGAATGGGTGCAGAGCAAGAAATTCAGATCACAAGAAAAGAGATTCCACCTAAGTATTAGGAAGAACTTCCATCCTGATTGTAAGAGCTGTTCGCAGTGGAAAACACTGCTGCCTGGGAATCCAGTGGACCATTTTCTCCAGGAGGTCTTTAAGCAGAGGCTGGAAGGCCATCTGTCAGCAGGGCTTGGATTATGTCTTCCTGTCTGGCAGAATACCATTTGATTGATGGCCCCGGGGCCTCCTCCAACTCTAGGATTCTATGTCATCAGATACACTGGAGTTGAAACCACGTTCACTAGACATGGCCAGACTGCAACTCCCAGCATTCCTCATCACTGCCTAGGATTCTTAGAGTGGCGGCAGTCTAGCAGTATTTGAAGGAACATATGTCCCAACCCCTATGTATGTAAACCTATTGGAGATTAAAGGAGCAACCTCCTAGTATTGTTACTTTGCCTTTATTCATGCATGTTAAGACCCATGGATATGCACCCCATCTTACCTGTACTACTGGTTTCTGTGGTTGCGTCGGCTGCGTAGCTGGAACTTGCGCTTTGTCTCGAGTGCCCCGAGTCCGTTCACTGCCCACCGAAGTCATCATATACAGTATATACAAAACAATGTATGTACAAAATAAAAAATCTGGAAGAAAAAAAAAGGAAACCGCAACTTAGATAAGCACTGCTTCCAAAGAGTGAGCACAGCTGACCACATCAGATAAGACAGGAGAGACAGCTAAGTTTGTGTACTAAATGACAACATGCAAATCTTATTCAGCATAGATTGGAACAAGAAGCTCATTTTCAGAAAGATATGATGCAGACTGCCTCAGAACTCGTCCAGCTGAGAAGAACAAAACTAGGCAAATTGGCTACCATCATTTCATCTTGTGGTAGCAAATTCTACAGTTTTACTGGGTTGTTTTTTCGGGCTATATGGACATGTTCTAGAGGCATTCTCTCCTGACAGTTCACCTGCATCTATGGCAAGCATCCTCACTACCTCTGAGGATGCTTGCCATAGATGCAGGTAAAACGTCAGGAGATAATGCATCTAGAACATGGCCATATAGCCTGAAAAAACAACCTACAACTACTCAGTGATTCCGGCCATGAAAGCCTTCGACAATACATTCTACAGTTTTAACTATAATGAGTATTATTATTAGCTTTATTTTTGTCCCGCTTTTCTCCCAATGTAGGGACACAAGGTGGCTAATGCTAAACATAAAATAATACAAATTAAAGCCATGTAAACACATTAAAATATAAACATTAAATTATGGACATTAAAAAATCATTAAAACCACTTCCACCCCCAAAACCCAAAATAAAGCATATCCCTTTAACTTTCATATATGTCCCAACATTCAACTTGATAGCATATTCCACATTCTGTGGAGAAGAAAAAGATCTTCGCTTGCTTCACAGCATCCACAATTTTATTATTATTGTTATTGTTATTATTATTATTATTATTATTATTATTATTATTATTATTGTTATTGTTATTTATTTCTCGCATTTCTATCCCGTCCTTCTCAACCCTCAAAGGGGGACTCAGGACTACCTCACTTCTCATGTGACTTGCCACTTTTCCAAACTACAGACGCCCAGGAAGGGTAACCTTTCCTCCTAAGACAATGGCTCCATCACATCAATCATTTGGATTGACTCTTTCTGCACTTCTTCTTTTTAGGACAACTCTTCAGGTGTGCTCAACAGAATTCCCTAGGAAACAGGAATTCCCTAGGAAAGATTTGTATACAGCAAAATAACCCCAACTATCTAGAAATCGGTACTCCATGCAGTCATGCCGGCCACATGACCTTGGAGGTGTCTACGGACAACACTGGCTCTTCGGCTTAGAAATGGAGATGAACACCACACCTCAGAGTCAGACATGACTGGACTTAATGTCAGGGGACTACCTTTACCTTTTTATCTAGAAATCACAGGAGCAAACTCTACTTATGCACAAAAAATGGCTGCAGAGTTCTATGGATATTTTGCATTTTTAACAGAATAAACAACACAGAATTATCACTGGATAATGTGGCAGGATATACGACTAAGCATTGGTGATTCTGTGACAGAATTTCTGCCTCACACACTGAAGGCTGCTTTGCTTCTCAACCGAGAGATAAAAGAGGGAATGATGATGTAGATTGGGTTCAAATCCCGAGCAATCAGCATGGTGTAGCAGTCCGAGTGTTGACGTAGGACTCTTAGCAATGGCAAACCTCTTCTGAATATGTCATGCCAAAAAAAATCCCTTATGACAGGTTTGCTTTTGGGTTGCCATAAGTCAAAAATGACATGAAGGTACACAACAATGCCAACAAATGAAATTACAAATCCCACACAATACAAGGCAGGCTTCCAGTTCTTGCCTTCATCTATTGCCATACAAATAATCTGCCCACACAACAGTCACACCAAGGAGACCACATGGCTTTGCTAGCTTAGATTGTGTCCAATCAGTGCACAAGCAATGACCAAACTGCAATTTGAATTTATTGCTGCAGCCCACCCAAATCCAGAGCAATTGCTTTCAGAAGCCCTTTGCAATCTTGAATTTCTATAGCAGTCACCTGGCATCTCACTTCAGTCTCAGCGTTTAACCTCTTTTTCCATCTATTGACAAATTCAGCTTTTTATTGACCAAGTTGCACTCAACTACTGCAACCTTTAATCTAATAAGGAAAGAATCTCACCACACAAAACTAAAGGAAATGCAGCATTTCCATGAACTCTTGCACGGCTGACTGGAAGAGAAATGTCTTTAACAGGAACTGACTGCAGCGAGATATGACTGAGAAGATCAATTTCCACCTAGATTTATGAATGGACATAGGAAAGCCAGTTTACCTTCACAGTCATGGAATTGGAAGAGGCCATCCAGTCAAACCCCATTCTGCCAGGCAGGAACACACCATCCAAACCCCGGAGGGATACCAAGGTGCTTGTCTATAAAGCTATTGTCCTCCCAACCCTGCTCTATGCCTGCGAAACGTGAAGTGTCTACAGACATCACATGCAACTCCTCGAACGATTCCATCAGCGCTGCCTCCAGAAAATCCTGCAAATCTCTTGGGAAGACAAGTGGTCAAACGTCAGCGTGCTGGAAGAAGCAAAGCCCACCAGCATTGAAGCGATGGTCCTCCACCATCAACTCCGTTGAACCGGCCACGTTGTCCGGATGCCCGACCACCGTCCCCCAAAGCAGTTGCTCTACTCCGAACTCAAGAACGGAAAACGGAATGTTGGTGGGCAGGAAAAGAGATTTAAAGATGGGCTCAAAGCCAACCTTAAAATCTCTGGCATAGTTACTGAGAACTGGGAACCCCTGGCCCTTGAGCACTCCAGATGGAGGTCAGCTGTGACCAGCAGTGCTGCAGAATTTGAAGAAGCACGAATGGAGAGTGAAAGAGAAACGCGCCAGGAGAAAGGCACGTCAAGCCAACCCCGACTGAGACCGCCTTCCACCTGGAAACCAATGCGCTCACTGTGGGAGAAGATCCAGGTCAAGAATAGGGCTCCACAGCCACCTACGGATCCACAAGAATACTGATCTTGGAAGACCATACTACTCGTCCAATGAGGGATCGCCTAAGTAAGTAAGTAAGTACAGATGGCCATCCAACACTATTTTGAAAACACCTGAAAAGGAGATTCCACCAGCAGCATACTTCCACTTTCAGGAAGTTCTTCCTAATGTTTAGGTGGACTCTGTTCTCCTGCAATGTGAATCCATTGCTCCATTGTGTCAAGAGCAGCAGAAAATAAGCTTGCTCACTCTTCAATGTGAAATACTAGGGTTGGGCCAGCACTGTCTACTCAGACGTCATTTGTTTTGTTTTTAATTTTTGGCAGTTCATTTTGCTGCCAATCGGTCCTGGAACTGAAAATTGTTCCCTGGGGTCACTACAGTTTCCAACCTGATTGACAGTAAGCTAATGAGCAAACAGAACGAAGGATTAGGAAAACACTGAAGTCCAGAGTTACTACTAGCATGCCAGAAGGTCACAGACAGATCATATGTGGCTCATGGGGTCAAAAGGAGACAGCACATTATCCTTACAAGATGACAATGTCACTGTAGAAGGGTGAATCTTTAGAAACTGTGCATCCCACCAAGACTCCCAGTCTCAGCTGAGAAGGACTAATTCAGAACACACCAACATTTTTGCCCCGAATACTGTAGAAAAAAGATCAATAACTGGAGTTGGGGGAAATAGACCTTGACATTTGGGGGTTGTAGTTACTAAGATGTATAGTTCATCTACAATCAAAGAGTATTCTAAACCCCATCAATGATAGAATTGGACCAAACATCCCATGGCCAAAAGAAAATACTGTGTTTTCTGGTGGTCTTTGGTGACCCCTCCGAAACCCCCTCGTGATCCCCAGGTTGAGAAATGCTGGACTAGAGGAAGATATGTCTCTTATTATAGAGGACTAGCTGCCCCCTGCCATGAGTTGCTGTGGCCCAGTCTGGTGATCTGGAAAATAAAGTAATGAGAAAGGGTTGGTTTCTAATATATGTAATGTCTTTATACTTGTGGGTAAACAGTATTTCTTGCTGTTTCTTTGTCAGTGTTGATGTGGAGATTGTCTGGTTTGCCCACCCTGGAACATGCAAGATATCCTTGTCCTTCTTTAAGGGTCCCTTTCAAATCTATGATACTCTATCTGTGTGTGTATGTGAATCATATCTATCTATCTATCTATCTATCAATATATCTATCTATCTATCTATCTATCTATGGCTGGATGGCTCTTTCTCAGGAGGACTTTGATTACGTTTTCTTGCCCTGGTGAAGGGAGTTGGATTGGATGGCCTTAAGTATTTTCTGTTGGTTGTGGGTGTTCCTTGTGGGAAGTTTGCCCCAATTCTGTCGTTCATGGGGTTCAGAATGCTCTTTGATTGTAGGTGAACTGTAAATCCCAGTGACTACAACTCCCGAACAGTCTATTTCTCCCAAACTCCATCTGTGTTCATTTTTGGGCATATTGAGTGCTTGTGCCAAGTTTGGTCCAGATCCATCATTGTTTGAGTCCATAGTGCTCTCTGGATATAGGTGAATTACAACTCCCAAACTCAAGGTCAATGCCCACCAAACCCTTCCAGTATTTTCTGTTGGTCATGGGAGTTCTGTGTGCCAAGTTTGGTTCAATTCCATCATTGATGGAGTTCAGAGTGCTCTTTGATTGTAGGTGAACTATAAATCCCAGCAACTACAACTCCCAAATGACAAAATCATAATTTTTTGAGTGATGGTCACTCCTTGTGTTGTGAGACGTTTTGTTACCAAATTTGGTGTGATTTCGTTAATTGATTCTTTTGTTTTTAAGGTACTCACTATGCACAGAGTATTTAGATAGATAGATAGATGGATGGATGGATGGATGGATGGATGGATGGATGGATGGATGGATGGATGGATGGATGGATAGATAGATAGATAGATAGATAGATAGATAGATAGATAGATAGATAGATAGATAGATAGATAGAAGACTGACAGGTACGTCATCTGCAAACACCAGCGATTTGGAGAGCAAAAGGGGAGAAGTTTAATATCCATGGAAATTATCATTTGCAAAGTGTGCAGGATTTGCTTAATTCGTTCAAACGGC